AAAATAATAAAAATTATAACTATAATTGCTATTTCTTCTTTCAAATGTTTAATACTTGTAAAAGTATTCATTTGACATTGTGGGTTTACCTATAATGCGAAGAGATGGCGCTGCCTTGCAGCTTAAGAATAGCTAGAAGGAATTTCGACGCGGTCCGTGAGGGCCGCGGTAGCATAATTGGTCAGTGCATTCGCCCGGATTGCGAAGGGTGCGGGTTCGAGTCCCGTCTGCTGCCTGGTCCGCGTGGATTTTTTTCTAGTTATATTTTCTTTAGATTTAAACATCAAGCAGTTACATGCTTTAAAAATAATAAAAATTATAACATTTGAATCAGTCATGGAGGACTCTCTCAATAAATTAAAAAATAAATCTGTAATAGTATGTGGTGATTTTAATGTCAATCTACTTGAAAATAGCTCTTTGAGTCTTCGGTTAATTACTTTGTTTAAATGTTTTAATTTAAATTTCCAGTTTACTGAACCAACCAGAGTAACATCTCACTCAGCCACTTGTTTAGACAACTTTTTTTCTGAATTGGATGCAATTGAAGGGTCAGTCTTTAGTGATATTACTTCCGATCATCTCGGTTTAAAGACAACATATAGTTTCAATGTCAGTACTGAGCCGAACATAATAGAGTGTAGACCTATAACAAATGAGCGCGTTAATAATTTTAAAAATAACATTAGCGATAAACTTCCTTTAATGCCTTGGACGCATGATGATCCGGATATTTTGTACAAAAATCTTTTTAATTTAATAAATAATGAATTTCAAAATACGTTCAGAATGAAAACCATTAAATGTACACAGAAGTTGCAGTTCTGTGACTGGGCGACAAGTGGTATATATAAGAGTAGAACAAGGCTGTATGAGCTTTATAGAATCAAAGAATATAACCAGGATCCTGAGTTTATTAACTATGTTAGAAAATATTCCAAATTGTTTAAAAGCATATGTAATACTGCAAAGTCCAATTTTATTAGGGATAAAATTAAAAAATCTAGTAATAAAATAAAGACCACTTGGGATATCATTAAGCGCGAAAGTGGCAAGTGTAAGCCTCGTGAAAATAGCATGGTTCTTAAAATCAATAATAATCTCGTAAAATCGAAACATGAAGTCGCAGATATTTTCGATAATTTTTTTATGAATATACCATTAGAAACTACTTCCAACTTGGACTCATCGTCTGATACTGCTACAGCTCTGTTACAAAAATATGTACCTCCGTGTGATTTATTATTTAATTTCAAGCACGTTAGTTCTTTTAAAATAATTAAAGTTTTCCATTCATTAAAAATGAAAAATGCATCTGATTTATGGGGTATATCTGTCAAAGTCATAAATAATATTATACATTCTATAGCCCCTTACCTAGCTGATATTTTTAATTCATGTATAGATCAGGGAGTATTCCCTGATCTTATGAAATTCAGTAAAATCATACCTTTATTTAAGTCTGGAAATTGTAAAGATCCTAGCAACTATAGGCCAATATCTATATTACCAGCATTGAGTAAAATCTTTGAAAAAATAATGTTAGAACAATTGTTGACTCATTTTAACATTAATAAACTTTTACACAGAGCGCAGTACGGTTTCACTAAAAACCGTTCCACGACTGATGCTGGGGCCACTATGCTAAAATATATATTTAATGCTTGGGAAAAGTCGCAGAATGCTCTTGGGGTTTTCTGCGATTTATCTAAAGCGTTTGATTGCGTTAATCATCAAACTTTGTTACGGAAATTAAATCATTACGGCATAAAAGATTCCGCACAAAAATTAGTGCAATCATATTTAACAGAAAGGACACAAATAGTTGATATTAACGGTACAAAATCAGCCGGATCTCATGTGAAAATAGGCGTTCCTCAGGGTTCAATTTTAGGTCCATTTCTTTTTTTAATTTACATTAATGATTTACCTTTCTCTGTAGAAAATTTTTGTGAAATTGTTTTGTTTGCAGATGACACCTCGCTAATTTTTAACGTTGACAGGTGTAAAACAAATTATGACGATGTAAACAATGCACTTTCCAAGGTACTTCACTGGTTCTCTTCTAATAATCTTAAACTGAATGCGAGCAAAACTAAATGTGTGAAATTTACTTTGCCGAATGTAAAGCATGTTGAAATGGGGGATATAATTCTAAATGGTGAAAAACTAATTTTAGTCGATACAACCGTTTTCTTAGGCGTAACACTAGACCACAAACTTCAATGGAACCCTCACATTACAACACTAGCCGGTAAACTAAGTTCTGCTGCTTATGCAATTTATAAAATAAGACGGCTTACAGATGTCGACACTGCTAGGACAATATACTTCAGCTACTTTCACAGCATTATGTCATATGGCATTCTATTATGGGGCACGGCCGCAGACATTGAAACAGTTTTTATTCTTCAAAAACGAGCTATAAGAGCCATTTACCGCTTGGGATCTCGAACTTCTCTTAGGGATAAATTTAAAGAAATAGGTATAATGACTGTTGCCTCTCAATACATTTACAATTGTATATTGTTTGTGCGTCAGAACATAAATTTATATACGAGGCGCGATGATGTACATAATTTCAATACCAGAAATAAAGACAAACTCAAATTGCCACCATTGAGACTCCAAAAGGTTCTTGGTTCATTTGTGGGTCAAGGTATATGTTACTATAATAAAATACCAAAAGAAATAATTAATTTACCTTTTAATAAGTTTAAAGTGTGTATAAAAACATGTCTCCTTAAGAAAGGTTACTATACTGTAAAAGATTTCATAAATGATAAGTCACCTTGGGCTTAACATAATAGACTGTCTTTTTACTTTGCTAATTTGGTTGAAAATTGTTTAATCGCCACTTCTAAATTTAAAAATAGTACCTAGTTATACTTAACTTTTGTTAATTAATAATATTAATGTGATGGAAGTTGACATCAACACATGTATTCAATTTTTGATGTCATCTTTCAATTGACGACACTGTGTGAAACAAAACAGGGAGAAAAAAATAGCCCTTGCTGAGTTTCTTGCCGGTTCTTCTCAGTACAAGGTCTCCCGCCGTAGATTTACGAACCGATGGCGTAGCGTTTGACTTTCACAAGAGCTTGTAACAGCCTAGACTGAATAAATGAGTTTGAATTTGAATTTGAATTTGAATTTATTTTTTGTAAATATATACATAATATGCCAAGACCGAAAGAGGAGTAAAAGACCAGACTATGCAAATAAATAAACTGTTTTTCAGAAAAAATGGGCACTTTAATTTTTTTTTCTACTTCAATAAATATAACAAGAAAGGGATATTATAAAAGTTATCTTTAATTTTAGTTATGATACTCACATCCAGTTGTCAAATTTTGTTCCTATAAAATTAAGTCAAAAGGAATGAATATATTTTACCTATTGAACGTTTAAAAATTACCATTTGACATTACTGTCATATTATACATAAAATTTTAATTATACCCCAAAAGCGGTAATGTTATGTTGCGCTGGTAACACTACGCGGGTGGGTGCGGCGCGGGCGGGGAGTTATTTTGGACACAATGCGCTCTGTACAAATAAGACTAAATGCTCCTTCTGGTTTGTTCTGTATTCTGAGCCTGGAGTTACTACGACATTAACAAAAGAACACAAGTAGGTAGGGAGGACCCAATATTTTTCAGCCCTAAGTTTGGGACAGTAGGTATAACTTCTAAGTCATTATAGTGTGAAACATTGACGTGTTCAGTCCGTTTTCTTTTACGTGAATTTTCAATTACAATATTCCTGCCGTCGTTTTTTTTAAGGTGTCGACCAATTTTTTTTAGTAATGTTAGAGTCAAAGAATTAATTAAAAAAAAAAAGATTATCAATGTATTTAGAAAAGATATGCAGATAATTGAATAATGAAACATACATAGAGATAAAATGTATAGGCTCTTTAATTCTTCAAACTAAGTCGACAGTCAGATCCGGGCAAATGAAAGGTGTCGACCAATTTTTTTTAGTCATTTGAGAGGTTCTAGTTTCAGAAAATTGTAAGCAAATCCATGTATTCGATGGCTTAAGATAAATTAAAAAAAAAATATTTCCAATGGTGGTCGACTCAAGGTAGCGAATAAATAGAGCTTGTCGACCCTTGACGTTTCTATTCTACTCATCAAAAACTTTCGTTCGACATAAATTTTCTTGATGTATTTCATAAATTATAATTACACCTAAAATAAAAACCGGAAGTGACGTCATAATTTTGCATGCGGGCAAAATCAAGCAACTTCAGGGGTGTCGACCTCTAGACCTACGGTTTTATTGTTCATACCCCAAAAATGATTCATGTATCTGATCCATAGGACTTTTATACGGCCGGCTCTCGGACTAATAAGAAATGATATGGAAGCATTATCTAATCTTGCATCTAGCAAAGGCAGCTAAAACATGGTTCCAAACTCATACGACTAAACTTAATACTAACGCGACGCGCACACAGACAAACAAAATAATGTGACAAATTAAAATTTCTGCAATAGTATTCAGCTATAAGTACAGCATGACTACTACTCCAAATCAATTCCATTCCTGGATTTGTAAAAGCTTATTTTATTTTCACGAAAAATGCACACAAAATAACAGTCTTGTGTGTATTTACATGAGTGTTATATCATTACAATGATACTGTGCTATAATAAAATGGGTTAATTAGACACCGGTCCCTGCCTAATTATGCGAGAATCGGTCGCTCTATACCAACATTTTTATCTCCAATTATTTGCATTTGTTCTTATTGATAATGTGTAATTCAACAAGAAATTAGTTAGATAACAGTGAGAAACTTTATTTTGTTTAATCATTTGATTTAATAAATTAATATAGTGTTACTATCTGCCACTTGGATTAGTTATAAATTGACAATACGAAACTCAAATTAACCTCTTACATAGTGTTGTATATTTAGCTTATAAATGCTCACGAAGTACCTTAGAATTGACTTTACCTTAATTTTGTCAATTTTAATACCACAGGGACAAGGATATAAGACGGAACGGATCATCAGAGAGAGAGGAGAAGCCGCGCGACGAACGGAACGGCCGCCCGAGCCGCTCCAGGGACCGCACTGATCAGCCCGAGGACAAACCATTGCCCAAGTTGAAGGAACAAGAGAAACCGGTAAATGAGCATTTATCATCATCAGCCTGGGCAATAGGAAGACTGGGCCGTGACCAGCGTTGCCAGTTTTTTTTTTGGCAACTTGTGATTTAGGAATTTTTTGAGTGGAAAAAGCTGGATGCTGTGCCCGTTTATTGCGACTAATCTGTATTGATAAAAAAAATTAACTACTAACATTAGCGGTATTTAGTGGGATTCAGTTTTTTGCAAGTTATCTGTAGTCATGGCTATCTCAACATTTCTGAAATTTTGGGTAGGTACTCCTAAAAAATAGGGAACATTATAATAATCCTGCTAATTACTCGCACGAGATACAATTATTACAATAACTTAGCAGAATCTGCACCCTGGTATCGAAACTTCTGTAGGCTGTGATATCTGCCTACCATCAGAAAGACCGTATGCTTATTTTTAATATTTTTACATATAAAAATACATTTATAAAACAAGCAAGGCATTACTTCTTCTTTTTTTAAATCTCCCAGTAACCAACTCTAATGCTGCTATATCTTTTCCATTTTCCTTTTGAATAAAATAATATGTATTATTTTTAATACGTATACAATTCTTTTTTTCTTTAACTAATAAACTCGAAAATTTTTGTGTTGTAAAAAAAATATGTTGTTTCAGATATTCGTAGCATCAAACAAATTCAGCTTCTTAGAAGACGCCGACGACGGCGGATCAGATTAACAAGCCACCCGCGTAAACGTTGCCGTTACAGAGACAATAGTGTGTAAAGTGTTAAATTGACGAGTATCAAGTGTCACGTGGGGGACTCCCCCACACCACTGGGACTGGCTGAATTGTGCTATGACATAGGACTCGACTAGAGTTAGTGCGGTGTGTGGATAAACGTGTATATTAGGGGTCGCTACATGCTCACACTGCTTCGAGGCCAGCCCCAGTCTTTACTGCCGCTTCTATATGGCTTCTCCAAAAAAGAACGCAAAATCGCTGGTCTTCTCCACTTGAAATTCTAAAGTTGCCAATGAAAAGCTGACAGTAGAGGCTGGGGCTCGAGATTTGTGACCATATTGTACTGATTGGTGTAAATTTTTCTATGGGTTTATTACGTAATAGTGTTTGTATGTACGGTTGCAAAAGTAAATACGGCCGAGAGCTATATAAATGCAAATAGTTCTTGTAATTCCATTTCGTAATGATTATTATTATCAGTACAGGTGCTGCTCGCCATTATATTTTTTGTGAATATTTCTTAATTCTTATTATACTTTATTACAATAGGGAATCTAATGTCTTTTTATTTTAGAATGTCTTGTGTTAAATATTAGTCAATTTAGATTATTGTTAGAATGTTAATTGTATTATTTATCTCTACATTCAAAATTGTTATCAAGGTCAACGATGTTAAGGCGCAATGTTTATGTTAGCTTGCAAGTATGCATCTACAACAATGTATGAATGAACGCCTTATTCGTGATGAATTATTAATTGATTGAAATTTAAAAGTACACCTACCAACGAGAACAGGGGCTGGGTCACAAGAATAGAATTATTATTACTGAGAAAACTGTTGATATTGACTGGTATAATTTTTATCAAGTTTCTTTTGTTTGGTAAACATCGTTCTAATTTTAATTATAAATAAATTACCCTTTTTACAACCACAAATTCTTGTTTTTCTTCCTATCGACTTCTAGTGAAATTGAAAACAATGACGCATCTAAAACCCCTTGATTGCTTATCACGATTATAAAATCACTGCAAGCACTACGAAACACTCCCAGTATGCCTCCCATCTAGGCTATACAACATCGTCGTATTACAGCGTGCATATGTGAAAAATCACGCTGAACAAACAAAAAAGGCAAAGCGTAAATCTGAGCCTATTTAAACAAATTCAATTATAATATATATAATAATATAATAAATTTTATTTTCTTTAGCATTGGTTTAGTTACATTATATACTCATGATTGAAGCCAACTTTTAAGCAAATAATGCCTGTGACAGGTGACTCCGCTCTTCCATACCTAAAATTACAGTTCGCTTATCTATTTTTATGTTTAAACAAAAAAAGGGACTTGTAAAAGTAAGTAAATATATCAAAGAATAATAAATCTTTAAATTTTTACATAGTTTTAAAATAAAAATACGAAAGTCTTGTGTGGTGATGCTGTTTTTTTCTTACTTTTACCTATTGTAACAAGGCCTCCGTTTCCTCATAATTCAACGAAGTTATGTAGATTATTATATATTTTTTACGTTCATGTAAGGTTTTAGTATATAGGTATATCTACGATTTTATTTATTTTATAATATAGATATGCCGAGCGAAAATTATATTGCATGGATCCAAACACAGTTTTTGTCCGTGGAAGTCCAACAGAGCTTTTTTTCTCTTTAATGTTTTACTAGGATCAAAGGTATTTTTTTATTACCGTGATTAAAATGTACAGCTTTCTAACAGACAGGACTTTACTGGTAGAATACAAAGCATCTGTAGGGTATCTTCTATTTTCAAAGTGCATAACTTTCAACAATGCCCGTTGTGTTCGTTTTAACTCTAGCATTTTTGTTTTGGTTGCGCCTCCCTATACAGGGATACAATAAGTAAGGACTGACTCTACCAGTTCTTTATAGATTTCTTGAGGAGCCCTGACCAACCAACCGCTCTCCAGGCACCACATGTCTAAGAGTTATGAGAATGCCAGGACAGCCGCTGCCGCTGATCAACCACCACCCGCAAGTACTTAGTTTTGTCAATATTTTCCATAAAGGGCAATCACAATCTAACATCATCGATTTCAAGAGTGTAATTTTAGTTTAAAGTCGGCAGTTGGTTGTGCATGGTTCTGGATACCAAAGCTGTAATTCGTTTTATCGGTATTCAAAGTTAACAGATTTTCCTTTAGCCAACTTCCAACAAACCACATTCCGATTTCAGCATGCTTCCTCACGTCTGCCCAGGATTTTCCAGTGAAGACTACAGCTGTGTCATCGGCATAACAAAATATTTGAGCGTTACTAATTTTCAGACTACAGATATCATTTATATAAAGTAGGAAAAGTGTGGGGCCTAAAACACTGCCCTGGGGCACGCCATATGACACAGCAGCATCATCACTAGTGTAGAGGTCCACTTGCACTGTTTGCATTCTCTCAGAAAAGTAACTTTTGAAAAGAGCGAGTTCAGTACCTTTTATCCCAAAATGCTCTAGTTTATGTATAAGAATGAATAAATTTAAAATTGATTATGTAAAATCGTCGTCATAAGGGCGTCTTTCAATCGCTTCGTCACATCTTCGAGGACCCAAAAACTTCAAATCTAACGCTTGCTGTTCCATTTATAACTCGTTTAAGTTTTCTGTTCATTCTGGAGCGTTTGGATGCCTCATTGTTTTTGTCTCTTAATTTTCTATAGTTTTTCTCGTATTTTTCGTCGACACTGCATATGGAAGAGACATTGCTGTCTCTCCATATGGGTGGACGTCGCCTTCTTCAGTAGTTGTGAGCCTTCCAACACCTTGATCATGTCTTCGATAAGAATATTAGGTTTTCTTGCGGTGTATTTGCGACAAGGGGTTGTTTTTGGTATGGCGTGTATGTTTCATAGGATACTTCGTTGTCGTACCGCCACTTCCTCCTCGTGTAGGGTTCTTCATTCTCAGACTACGCCCGAGATTCACTCTTTGGTCGTCGGCGTCCGGCGTGCTGATGAGGTACGGGCCAGGATATTCACAGTCAACCCCTGTCTGCTTCCCTCTAGCAACCTTACCATACCCCGCCTTGGCCGTACTGGGCCTAAATATCACTTCCGTTAGAAGAACATCGTTGCTCTCCAATTCCGTAGGAATAACTGATACGAGTTTTGAATCTTCTTCAAAAGATATTTGTGTCGTTGTTGTTGTATGTATGTTCCCAGCCGAACAATCCTGCTGCTTGCACTGGATCCAATCTGACTGGCTTCTCCGACTTTAAGTACCCGATAACGTCCAGCATGTTGTTGAAATCTAGAAACTCCTTTAGGTGCTGCATTGTGTTGTCGAACGAATCCTCGTGACTAATATCCTACACACCAGCCGGAGCTGTTGGGGATTTAGGGTCGATTGCTTCCCAACCTTGCGGTGGGAAGGGTGTGTCTAATAAGTCGTTGTTGTGTGCCCTTTCTTCAATTATTTTAGTGGAATCTAAGAAAAAAAAACCAAGTATGATTTGCTGCTTTCCTCTGAGTGGTTGTGTGCGGATGTTCGTAAATTCTTTAAGAATCTTACTTGCCAATGCTTATTGGTTCTTTAGCGGGATCTGAGCACCACTGCACCAGATCTTGGAAGAACTCGCAATCCGAATTCTGAAACACGGTGATGTCGTTATATATATCGTATATATCGTGAAGGCTCCAGTTTCAAAATTTCCTGAAAACGCAGATGAGAGCATATTAATTTAATTCAGAAATGAATGCGCAAACTAAAGATAAGCTTACAATTTATCTAATGATAATTAAAATATACTTAAATAATGTGATGTTGAGGAGCTCGATGGCGCAAGTGGTTAGCGCGTTCGGCTGCGATCGTTGAAATTAAGCAACTATCCCAATGGTCGGTCAATGGATGGGTGACCAAAAATTAACTATCTCGAGCTACTCAGTGCTTCGAAACGCACGTTAAGCTATTGGTCCCACGTGGTGGGTCATAGCTCAATCTCCCTTTGCCATCCATAGGGAAGGCCTATGCCCCAGCAGTGGGGACATTAATAGGCTGATAATGATAATGATGAATGTGATGTCACATTATTAGGTACAAATATTTGTTGGGATATTTACATCCTTGGAAGCTATTATCAGCTCTTTGAGGCCTTTTATAATATTCGCTTCTAATAAAGCAGACGTATTTACGTGGCGGCGCAGGCCTTGCTTCTGAAAAGCTGATTGCGGGCGTTGCCGGCGAGGGTATAACTTCCGAAATTCCGCCGGCAATAATCCGGTCTCACCGTTCGTATCGTTCCTTGTTTGAATTTAAACAATCTATTTCTACTTACCACTTTCAAAATACTTTAAGTCTTGCGACTCGTTGACGAAGAAACCATATCTTTTGTTGTTTGTGTTGATGGACAGATTTCCGATATCGTCGCTTCGACTCGGACAGGTGATCTTTTAAGGTACCATTTTGAATAGAATAACAAAAATAAATAATACGACGTAACATGCTGTGCAATAAATATAAAGCGATGGGGACGTACACAGGGAAGGATGATGGATCCGGTATAAGTATTACATACTCAGATTAAAAAAAGGGTAGATACGGCACTAGCCTCACAAAAGTGATCCGCAAAAATTGTGGTCCACGACCCTAATCGCTTTAGTCACAACTTGACATGCAAACGACGTACATGTGAACGCCAAAAAGAAATATTGCTAATATTTTGTGTCTATATATTAAAACAATGCTTATGTGTGTTTTTAAAAGTGCTCAAATTGCTCAAGAACTAAAAATAAAACCCAGGGCATCACTTTTCATTCGTAAGTACTATAAAATGTATATTTTCATAAAAATTGCTGTTTGTTTTGAATCTTATTCGGTAGTGACGTCGAGTACTGGTCGCGTGATTGGTCGGTAGTGCAGTGACGCGGATCTCGCCGTCTCGTTCGCGCTAGCGTTGAAACTTAACGTGCTGTTTCGTTCGGGTCGGTAATGCAGTGAAGCGGATCTCGCCGTCCCGTTCGCGCTGCCGTGGAATCAGTTTTTGTTTGATGCAAGTATGAGCGTACCGTATCTACCCTTTTTGTTTAAATCTAAGATTACATAAGCTATTAGGTCCATTTTCTAACTTTTCACTCCAAAAGCTATAAGTATTTGAATTTTGAGAAATTTAGAACCTTGTATAATTGAAAACTGAACCTAATAGCTTGAGATGTGAGAGAAATTATGTGATAGAAAATGGTTTATATATTTGAATGAATCAAAGAAACTTCCGTTTACGAGTATTGAGTTCTTTCCTGTTGGATACTTAGCAGTAGTGCCCATTATCGTTTGTTCCCAACGAGTCACACTGTAACCTGTAACACTGTAACACGTTGGGAAATCTTTCTTAAATAATTCCCAACCAGTCACACCACACTGTGACACGTTGAGAGACCTTTCTTAAATCATTCCCAACCAGTCACACTCTGACTCGTTAGGCCAACTTGCTGATAGGTATACTGTTACATTATTGTTTTAAACTTTCATGGTCACTAATATAAGGTATTTACGGGATTGTTACCATATACCTTGTTTTTAGCGAGTTTCCGATATTTCGGCGCTGTTGCAAGCACCATGATCACGGAGTAACTGGTTACCCGTTACATGGTAACAATCCCGGAAAGAACTTATATTACTATACTGTTACATGTTCATTCTATTCAATGATTTTGACTCAAAGATTCTATCCTATTCTTTTAAAATTTAATATTGTTGTTAATCTTGATAGCCTATAAATCTATACTCTGACCTTTTGATTCCCTGTTAAAATTAGGTCCTTACATATGATTTTTGAATTCCAGGCGTTTTGTACGGGAGGAATATAAAGTCAATTTATTTTTGTAAAATATATTTAATTCATCAAAATATGCACCCTTGTTATCTATGCACTTTTGCCATCTCATAGGTAGTACATTGATCCTTTTTCTAAAAAAAACCATGGGGGCGAGAATCAATATACTGTTTGAAGGCGGTCTGGACTGCCGCATCAGAGTTGATTTTTTCCTTGTAAACAGTTGTCCTAATTCCGGAAAAAATTATAATCTGTTGGAGCAAGGTCTGGGGAGTACGGTGAATGTCACAGACATTCCAATTGTAACTTATCTAAGTTAGTGGTTGTATGTTATGCAGTGTGTGGTCTTGCGTTGTCGTGAAGCAGCAGTGGCCTAGAGCGATTGACCAATTTCGATTGTTTAGCAGCTAGTTCTGCCTTCATGGTTTGCAGTTGTTGACAATAGATATCTGCCGTAATCGTATGGCTAGATTTTAGAAAGCTGTAGTGAACGACACCGGCGCTAGTCCACCAAACACTCACAAGTAATTTTTTCTGAGTCAATTTTCGTTTAGGGCAGGATTTGGCTGGGTCTCCAGGGTTCAGCCATTGCGACGAGCGCTTCCGATTATCGTACAGTATCCACTTTTCATCACAAGTAATGATTCGATTTAAAATCCTATCATTATTGTGTCGATTGAGCAAAGTAACACAGCAGTCGACGCGTGTTATCAAGTTCGATTCACTCAATTCATGAGGTACCCACTGATCATTTTTTTTTACTTTCCCGATTTGCTTCAAGTGGCTTAATACAGTTTTGTCACTTACCCCGAAGCCTGCAGCTATCTCTGAAGTGCTTTGTGATTAATCCGCTTCCACAATAGACTTTAATTCTTCATTTTCCACTTTGATCTCCGGCCGTCCACGGGGTTGGTTCTGAAGGTCGAAATTTCCAAAACGAAAACGTTGAAACCAAAAATGTACCGTGCTTTCTTTTGCTGCAGCAAATCGAGCTGTTTCTGCAGCATTGGTGCCACGGTAGAACTAGTACTTATAAATATACCGATATTTCGTGTTTTCCATTGGGCGGTAATAAGCGACGCCAAAGAAAAAAATAATGAGGAAAAAACCAAATGAATGACTGTTTTCAAAACTCAAATGTACCAGTTAAATGAATTTATAAAGGAGTTTGCTCAGCTTCCATACATGTTTGGCCTAAAGACCAATAATCATAAAAAATTGTTTCATAGATTCGAAATTATATATAAATTAGGTACTGTAGAAACGAATATTATTGACGGACACCCCTGAGAACTTCTATAAACCATATACACTGAACGATTTTGAGGTTATGTTTGCAAATAGGTACTTAAGTATTAAAATAATAAAAAACAAGTAAGTTATTTATTAAACTAGGGAAATCAAGCCAAGTACCGAAATGATGTATTAGATTCAGGTATATAGAGCATGTAGATTAACAGATAGTTGCCTGTTTTTAAAGTTACTCAGTAACTTTTAAAATCAGGTAATATCTATGCATTTCCGGTTATAATATGGAAGGTACTCTGTGACAGAAACTGTGTGATGATTGTGAATGAGCCACAGATTAGAGAGATTTTTTAAACTCTCGTTAACCAAAGAAATATCGTAGCCATATCTTTAGTAGCTTCATTATTTTTGTTATGTTTACATTATAACCATATTTTAGATTTTTAGTGTATCACACCCTATAATGTGTTTATGGAGGTGTTTGGGGAAAAATGTATGGCAATAGACTTTATGATGTCGCCTACCATCTATAATAATTGTCTAAGCACATTTGCATGTAGTGAAAATGATTATATAGTTGTGGATATTAATACCACAGTGTAATAAAAAAATATATTTACTTTATCGACCTTTACAAAATAGATTTGATTTTATGTTTTATAAACAACTTCGATCAGTCTTTGGCTGAATGTTACTACACCCATAGCCATTAAAAATGATTCCTATGTTTTTTCTGATGGTAGTAAGCAATAATAGGAAAAAATGTTGCCTTCCTTTTATTACAGCAAAAAGTAGCAGTGTAGCTGATTATTTAATGAAACTAGGGGTAAGAGGAGCTCGATGGCGCAAGTGGTTAGCGCGTACGGCTGCGATCGTTGAACTTGAGCAACTTTCGCAGTGGTCGGTCATTGGATGGGTGACCAAAAATTACTATCTCGAGCTCCTCCGTGCTTCGGAAGGCACGTTAAGCCGTTGGTCCCGGCTGCATCTGCAGTCGTTAGCACCCACCAATCCGCACTGGGCCCGCGTGGTGGGTCATGGCCCAATCTCCCTATTCCATCCATAGGGAAGGCCTGTGCCCCAGCAGTGGGGACATTAATAGGCTGATGATGATGATGAGGGGTAAGACGCAACATACACCTCAGACGTAACATAACCAACACCTAAGAGTAGATTTGTCTAACGATTCACAGTGTGACTGGTTGGGAATAATTTCGAAAAGGTCGCCCAACGTGTCACAGTGTGACTGGTTGGGAAATATTTTACAAAGTTCTCCCAACGAGTCACAGTGTAACAGTGTGACTCGTTGGGAACAAAGGTCGCACGGTATTTGCCAATGAGTGACAGAAAGTTTTTTTTCAAATACTTCTGTCTCAAATGTCTCTCAGCTCACGTCCGTTCTTAATAGTCTTATTTACTTAGATTCTTCATCTACCTACTCATTCTTTTGTTATTGAACACAGGAAATTAACACACATGTTTTAAATTAGAACAAATCTCATTTAATTCATAATAAAACAATCAATTTAACTTATTTTCAATATGCACCATGCAAAATATAACCAATCTATAAACGTTACTGTACTTTTTTTATTTCATACTTATATGTACATTAATTACAATAAATTTAATTTTTCATGAAAATATCGTTAAAATATAATTAACAAGGCCTTATAGGTATCTCTTAGTTAAGCGGCAATAAAAACACAACGTGTCTCTACTAGTTAATTAAGAATAATAAAAGGTTAAATCTATAAATAATATTTTACTTCTCCTTAGCATTGTGCTGTTTCTCAAGTTCTAGATAATTTGGAAACAACGACGCATCCAAAACCCCTTGATTGCTTATCACGATTTTAAAGTCACAGCAAGCTATATATACTACGACATACTCCCAGTATGCCTACCATCTAGGCTATACAACATCGTTGTATATAGCGTGCATATGTGAAAAATCACGCTGAACGAACAAAAAACGCAAAGCGTAAAACTGAGCCGTATATACAAATTCAATCAATACGTTCATTGTTTATGCAAAATCGCTGTCATAAGGGCGTCTTTCAATCGCTTCGTCATATCTTCGAGGATGTCCGCTTTGATTTGTAACTTTTTATTTTTTTCCTCCAAATCTAACGCTTGCTGTTCCATTTGTAACTCTTTAAGTTTTCTATTCATTCTGGAGCGTTTGGATGCCTCATTGTTTTTGTCTCTTAATTTTCTATAGTTTGTCTCGTGCGTTGACGCTATAGATGAGTTTTCGTCGATGCTGCATATAGAAGAGACGTTGCTGTCTCTCCGTTTGGGTGGACGTCCCCGTTTCGCCTTCTTCAGTGGTTGTGAGCCTTCCAACTCCTTGATCATGTCTACGATTGGAATATTAGGTTTTCTCCTGGTGTATTTGCGACGAGGGGTTGTTTCTTGGTATGGCGTGTACGTTTCGTCGGATACTTCGCTGTCGTACCGCCGCTTCCTCCTCGTGTAGGGTTCTTCATTCTCAGACTCTGCCTGAGATTCACTCTTTGGTGTGATCGGCTCGTAGTCCACTGGTGGTGGCGATTTCTTGACCTCAACCTCTCCCGAGACTGTTTCGGTGTCTTCGACCGGCCACTCGTCCGTCGTCAGCTACGATTAAAAAGAAAAACATTATGAAATATATAATTATTTCGCACAGTCACTTCTGATTTATTATATTGTAGTAGACTTGGTAAAGTTTTTAACTTATAAAATATCTAAGAGCTCATAATTAAGAGTTATGTAACTATGAAATTTATTTATTATTTGATGTCGATTCTGGCAAGATTCTCCAAACCTAAACTTAAATTTGACAACAGTGTAACCTTGTCATTCTCTATACAGAATGAAAAGGAGACTCTTTATTAAATTTAGTTTTCACAGTTTCACATCAGTTTCATTTAGGTTTTTTGACAGCTTTGAAAATATACCTAGTTACCCCTAATATTCAAAAACTGTAAATTGTGTAAAAGTGATGAGAAAAATGGTTACCAGACTAAAAAAAATACATTCGCAGTTACAATGCTATGCCAAACCCGAATGAATAAATTCAGAACTCACCATAGGCAATAGAGGAAGATTATCCGTTTCTAGCTGCTCCACGCAGTTGACAACGTCCGGCGTGCTGATGAGGTCAGTGGGCCAGCCGAAAGTACGCGCCGGGATGTTCACAGTCAGCCCCTGTCTCTGCTTTCCTCCAGCAACCTTAACATCCCTCGCCTGGGCCGGACTGGGCCCAAATATCACTTCCGTTATAATAACATCGTTGCTCTCCAATTCCCTAGGTATAACCGATACAAGTTTTGAATCTTCTTCAAAGGGCATTTGTGTGTTTACTAAGTGTGTATTTGTGTCATTGGTGTTGTATGTGTGTTGTTCCCAGCCGAACAATCCTGCTGCTTGCGCAGGATCCAATCCGACTGGCTTCTCCGACTCTAAGTCCCCGAAAACAACCGGCATGTTGTTGAAATCTAGAAACTCTTCTTGGTACTGCATCGTGTTGGTGTTGCAGAGACCTTGAGGAGTCAGCGGTTTGGTATATTGTCCGATCCCGACCAAACCGGGCGAGAGCGAATCCTCTGGACTAATATACGCGCCAGCCGGAGCTGTTGGGGATTTAGGGTCGATTGCTTCCCAACCTTGCGGTGAGAAGGGTGTATGTAATATGTCGTTGTTGTGTGCCCTTTCTTCAGTTACTTTAGTGGAATCTGAGAAAAAAAAATTAAAGTATTATTTTCTGCTTTCCTTCGAGCGGCTATTATGTTCGTAAGTTCTTTAAAAATCATACTTACCAATGGTCTGTACTGGTTCTTCCTTGGCGGGATCTGAGCACCACTGCACCAGATCTTGGAAGAACTCGCAATCCGAATCGTGAAACATGGTGCTGTCGTAAGTTGGCTCCAGTTTCAAAAATTCCTGAAAACCCAGATGAAAGCATGTTAATATTAATTCGGAAATGAATGCGCAATCTAAAGATAAGCTTACAGTTTATCTAATGTTAATTAAAATATAAAAAAATGAGATGTCGCGTTATCAGGTGCAAATATTTAGTGGGATTTTTACATTCTTGGAAGCTATTAGCAGCTATTGGAGTCCCTTTGTAATATTCGCTTCTAATAAAGCAGACGTACTTACGTGGCGGCGCAGACCTTACCTCTGAAAAGCTGGTTGCGGGCGTTGACAGCGAGGGTATCACTTCCAAGATTCCGCCGGCAATTACTCCGGTCTCGCCGTTCGTCTCCTGTTCCTTGTTTGACTTTAAACAATCTATGTCTACCACTTTCAAAATACTTTGAGTCTTGTGACTCGTTTGCGAAAAAACCATATCTTTTGGTGTTTGAGTTGATGGACAGATTTCCGATATCGTCGCTTCGACTCGGACAGGTGATCTTTTGAGGTACCATTTTGAATAGAACTACAAAAAGAAATGATACGACGTAACATACGGTGCAGTAAATATAAAGCGATGGGGACGTACACATGGAAGGATGATGGATCAGGTACAAGTATTATATAAGCTATTAGGTCCATTTTCCAACTGTTCACTTCAAAAGCTATATTTGAATTTTGAGAAATTTAAAAAGTTGTATATTTGAAAACTGAATCTAATAAGCTTGAGATGTGAGAGAAATTAGGTGATAGAAAATGATAGAAAATAGTTTTAATATTTGAATAAATCACAGAATCTTCTGTTTACGAGTATAGAGTTCTTTCCTGTTGGATACTTAGCAGTAGTGCCCGTTATTTATTGACAGATATTATAATATACATATTATAGAACATATTATATTATGAAAGTGAAACCATGTACATATTAGCAATGAAAGGGAATGATGATTGCATAAATATTAGATTGATATATTTTTGAGGATATAAATATACTATATGAACATACATTTAGTATGTGATTGAATAAGTTTATTATTTTCTCTTATGCAATCAACATGGTTACTGTCACCTGCCCATGAAACATACATTCATATGAAGTACTTTTGTGTGGCATCATATGTTCGCAAACATGTTGAGAAGTGGTTCCTACCATTTAGGCTACCCCAAGGTAGAGATTTAAGACCCGCATATTTATTAAAAAAAATATTACCAAAACCAGCCCGCTTCAAATTACCTAATTTAATTAATAGGGAAGAGACTTACCCACCTTCAATAATTACGAAATTTAGTAATGTAACTTGTTAAAATATGTTACATTACAGAGAACTATCTTAATTAATTTATAAATTAAGTTAAAATATGTCTAGGAGCTAAAGAAGCCTTAATTATAGAAAAAAATCTTAATCTATTCTAAACTATGTTGTAATGTTATTTAATTGCCTCTCATTAATTGGATCGGCAATTCTGCGGGCTCTGCTATTATTATCTATTTATTAGAATTTCAAAAGTAGTATCTTAAGCTGAAAATTTGTTTTGGCAAATATCTTTTCTTATAGCATTTATCTAATATAATGATAATGAAATAAAATTAGTTTTAAACAGTAAAATTATTTGAATCGAGAATGACCAACCACGCCGTGCATGCGAATGAATGATTCAGGCAAAATGACAATTTTATTATAAAAAAGATATGAAAACAAAATTCCGAATGGATGCAACACAAATAAGATGGATTATTATTTTATATCGTTAATTTAGTGATTCTGAACAAGCTGAAAAATTTACATAAATTATTTTGATTTCGTTTAAAAAATGTTTTATCAATAGACTTTACTATAGAGTAATATTTTGAATTGATTTAAATTTCACTTGATTAATTTAGTTTCGTCATTTTATATGAAAATGGAATTGACTGCAATTAAACTTTACCGATACGATGAGATTTAGTTTTGTTTGATTCATACAAAGATTATGAGGTTAATGAATATTTAGGCTGTAGTCTTCTTTCTTTCTTGTTTCTGTTTGTTCTTTCAGGACCTGTGAACACACAAAATCAAGGGAAAGAGAAAACAAATTACTTACTTGTTCGAACTCTTCTCGAGCTCCTAATGAAATCTTAGCTCTTTAGGCGGCTATCCAACAAATTGTCGCAACTGTAGGCCTGCAACAAAAGAAAAAATACTATGAATATCTCCTAGGGGATATGGATAGTGGGAATAGAATGAGAGAGATAGAGAAAAGCTAGATGTTTAAATCTAAAGACAATTTTACTAGAAAAAAAAATCCACGCGTTCCAGGCAGCAGACGGGACTCGAACCCGCACCCTTCGCTATCCGGGAGAATGCACAGACCATTATGCTACCGCGGCCCTGACAGCCGTGTCGAATTTTCTCCAGCATTTCTTAGGCTGCAGGGCAGCGCCATCTCTTCGCATTGAAGGTAGCCCACAATGTCAAACGAATACCTTTACAAGTATTAAACATTTGAAAGAAGAAATAGCAATTATAGTTATATTTTTAAGCATTTAACTGCTTAATATTAAAATCTAAACAAAATTTTACTAGAAAAATCCACGCGGGCCAGGCAGCAATCGGGACTCGAACCGCACCCTTTGCTATCCGGGCGAATGCACTGACCATTATACCACCTATTTTTACTAGTAAAATTTTCTTTAAAATATATAGGTTGGCAGAACTACATGAGCTAGAAATACTTCCGGTTATCCATTATAAAGTTAAAATCATTGGTTATCATATCAATAACTTGAGAGTAGCACGTATTCATTCAATAATGAATTTAGTGGCTTAGAAAGTCCTTCTAAAGAAAAAATCTTCTAGAATCATCCGAATATACCTTTTTTGACGGTCACAATTGAATCAAGATAACGTAGGCGGTGCGGGCGGACGTGACCTCGATTCGATCAGATTAATTAATTTCAATAAGAGTAGAATAAATTCCTAACAGATAACATGATTTCTGACTCATAAATCCATCGGTGCAGGTTATAATGATGAAAGAGTAAACTTTCAATGGCATGTAGGTATGCTGGCTTTTCCTATGACAATAAAAATATAAGGTCGTCTGGAAGAATTTAGCGATAAGACTGCCCATTGAATCACTGTTTAAACATAATGTATTTACCCCATTTATGTACTGTACTGTGGTATTTTCAATAAAGAATTGTGTATTGTAATATAAATAGAGATTTGTTACAAAAAAACTCATACATATGACGAAGAAATAGAGTTATTCTCGGTCAGATAGAAATATTATGAGAATTTTAAACTTCTCTACATAAAAGTTAACCCTAGTTCCTTAATGACGCTTAAAATACGCAGACATTTCAATACGCAGTTGGCGATCTACTTAAATGTGCACTTTTTCCAAGCTTACCGTCGGAAAAAGTGCATATTTAAGTTAAAGAGGTCAGTATATGCAAATCAACTTCCATTTATTTATTTATCTTAGGTTAAATAAGTAACATTGCTACTTATACTTTTACATCATACCAAGAACCTTGCATTTAATTTAAGACAAAAAATAGTAGACTCCTAATAAACTAACATTGGTCAGCTTTTGAGTACTAACTCCGTCCTATTATGACCCTTTTTAGTTCCCCTATTGTCGTCTTACACGACTTGTCTGTACTTGTCTACTTTCGAGAAAGGTATTCCCCCTTTTGATGGAGACACACCAATTGAATTCTTTATTAACGACTTACTTATCTTAAAAATAAGACGCAGATCCGCTTAGCAATAGTAAATGCAAAATTCAAGAGTTAATTCAAGTCGATCTACTTTTCCCGTCTCGACAAGTCTGAACTTGTTTGCTTTCATTAGGTTATGGCACTTCGAATCACCTTGAAAGCACATTACATTAGTATTGTAAACGACGAAGAGATAAGGATAGAGATAGTGTTATACAATAAATTATGGTGCAATAATGGTTTCCGCCAAAGTACAAGAAACTTAAAAAATTTACATGTTGATGATCTTCTAAAACATAGTACAGCAAATTATAATTTTTGATGCATGACTTTTTGTCTTAAAGAATCTTAAAAATATCAAAAATAATATAGCGACCGTAATTTTACTATAGATAAATTAATTTTAGAACTCACCTTGTTACGAACTTATACTGTAACGCCTCCAGTCGTTGAAGGTTGTATGACACAATTTAATACAATGAATACTTAAAAAAGAACAGAAGTCACAACTTCGTGTACTGTTTGGTTAAAATTGTATGCAAGCACGAAAAGTGGGCAAGTTTTGACCGAATATTCAGCGAGCGCGTCGCGCGTCCGGCATTCGAGAGCTCAGAAAATATTGTGCAAGAATTGCGTCGCGCCGCCTCGTACAGTTTTCCGCGATCCCCAGTGTTGCCAACTCGGATTTTGAAAAAGACGTAGGCCCGATGAGAAAATTACGTAGAATTGGCAAATTTTGCATATGAAAAGTAAGTAGATCTACGTACTTTTTTCTGAGTGAAATGAAGAAGTTGAAACCGAAAAAAACGAGTATTTTGTTATACAATTTGTTTAAGAACGGGAGATAGAACATAGAGTTCTTGGAGAAGTCGCTGCATTGGAAGCATTTACCATGCTGTGGTAAACATTTACCATCAGACACAGACACTGGTGGGTGCCGATTCTGGATGGTTCTCTAAATTTAAAACTTAATTTAACATCAGTCTCTCCTTTTCATTGTGTATAGAGAATGACAAGGATAAACTGTTGTTAAATGGGCTAGTTGACACTTTTTGGAATTATGTTTTAAATTCTTAATAATTGTTCTATCAGACAGAAAATTTTTTTTTTTTTACCTAGAAGACATACGAAAATGCTCTTTAGTCTATAGACTTATCTATTCAATGACGTCAAAACATTTGTAAACAAACACTCGCAAGCACGTAGGAAATAAACAGCTAAGTCAATATTATAAAACCATGATTTCTAATAGATCACATGAAAAATATAGTAGTTATCATGATACACTTGGTAAAAGACTCTGGAAAAGTTGTGGTTTAAATTGCCAAGAGAAAAAACATACTTACACATGAACATATGCTTAAAACTTGCTAAATCCTGTAACTTTATCGAGTGAAAGTCTTTTCTTTTTGCAAAGATCAATTCGATGTGAGTAGGTACTCATAGATAGTAGTAAAAGTTTAAAAATACAATGGTATCGATTCTACCGTGATTCTCTAAACTTAAAACTAAATTTAACATCAGTCTCTCCTTTTCATTCTGTATAGAGAATGACAAGGATACACTGTTGCCAAATTTAAGTTTAGATTTAGAGAATCGTGCCAGAATCGACACCAATTTTTAAGGTTATGAATGTACCTACTAAGTCAAAGAGTTCTGTCGTTTCTGCTTTCACAAATCCTGCGTCCAGCATTAATTTAGTCAACAAAACCAATAACGGGAACCTTTTGTACAAGATACAAGAGTGTTTAGATACATCTTTATAAGAAATAGACATTTGTATAGTTTTTAAGTAAAGTAACGGAAAATACTCTTCTTTATTCTAGTGAATTAAGTTATTTTACAAATTTGAAAAAAATTAAGAAAATACGTAGATTCTGGGACTGAAGTTAGTAGGTTTCCAGAAAAGGCCTAAAATACGTAGATCTACGTAAAAAGACGTAGAGTTGGCAACACTGGCGATCCCCTCTATTCGACATGTGCGTTCTAAAAATATCTCCGCCGTTCGGCTATTGGCTCCTACACATGACGTCAACTCGAAGGACCAATGATGGAACTTCACTTGCTGAGGTCACGAGACTAGCGTTTTCACATTGATTGCTATAGGCACTGGGTTTATATTTGTATAATATTGTTTCTCGTAACACGCAACCAAAGCGCCGCCGTCGGGGATTCACGCCGCTCAGAAAAAGCGGAATGTTGTTTTTCTCTTGAATGACTCATCCTACAATCGCCCTACACTCTCTATATTGCGAACTTCTTCAATTTTTTGGTGGGAATACAATTTAATTATTCTACAATTACATTAAAATTTTTAGCCACCAATCGATCATATTGCGCTGCAGTTAGTATTCTTATGAGATAAGTTTTAAGTAAATCTTCATATTGTTTTTGTTTTTAATCCTAACTCTACTGATAAAGTTGCAAAAACGTAGGAGAGCGACTCACATACTAACAATTTATTGCAGTTTGAAACACACTCAACTGCTTCTTCTTGATTTATTTCTGCGCCTTCTTCCCTATTCCTATTTTTTGTGTCATTGTTATCAATTCCACACAGAATAAGTAGACAATTTGAACTTTCATTCTTAAGAAAAAGAGAGTCCTTCCATTTTTTTGGCATGAAAAATGAAATAATACCATATGAGCTTGATAAAAAACTACAGGAATGATATAAAAATAACATGAGTCTCTACTTTTCATTCTGTATAGAGAATGACAAGGATACGTCGCTCGCTGTTGTCTTTAAGTTTAGGTTTAGAGAATTATGCCAGAATCGACACAAATATTTTACGAATAGTGCAAAGATGGTATTATAAAATTAGAAGGACTTTGATGTGCCGGCATCACGTAGTCGTTATCTTTCATACTAATCAGTACACACATTAAGGAACTTAATAGATAAGATAAAATTAAAACATGAAAAAGAAATCAGGAACTGTTCTGTGCATATTATAATTGTTCTGTAATACGTTTATTTTTAATACAACTTCATTATATTTCTCGTTTAGATGTACTCTACTTTAACAGTTTAAAAAGATGACGATACAATCTTTTTATGTAAATAAATTATTAAATTATAATTGCATTAGGTACCTAGATGACGAGCTTATTCGACTTTACTTAACTTAGACAAAAAACTCAGTAAAGTAGGTATTCAAGGTTGTAATCATGGGTCAAAGAACTACATATAAATAGCAAAACAGAATTAGTCACAGGTTTAAACAAGTCATCGCAGATTCGATCATTGCTCTGTTTTTTATCTTTCGCTGATTACAAACCGATACGTGAGATTTGGAATGTTCTGCATGAAAGGAAATGTTATTTTTCATACTTCATATCGAAAACTGAGAGTTCTGTCAAGGATTCACAACCTGAGAATGGGTTTTGTGGTGGTTATCTATATATATGTACTAGGTACATACATACTTTCAAAGAACGGTTATCTTATTCGCTACGCTCTTTCAAATAAAATGAACGAAGAGGAAAATAAAGCTGAAAAAGTATACCAAACAAACACAACACATCTGCATCTTAACATGCAAAACATTATTCTTCAGCATTGGACTGATCTTTTGTAGAGGTTAGGTTGTCGTCCTTCTTAGCAGGGCTTCCAGTCTCTTGTTTCAGTTTTTTAAAAAATAACTTATTTTATTAACACGCACGAATTGTCTCAGTAACAGAAGGAGTTACTTCCCAAGACTTTGTATCTTCAACTAAAAGGTCATACAACTTGTAATTTATTAAAAAAAGGTTTTTGATTGTGCTAATTTAACCCCAGAAGTTTTTTTAGTACAATAAGAAAAAATAATAACAGGTTCTAAGAACCGATCAGTAGTCAAGAAATAACTTCTTAATGTTATGCAACTGCTTAATAAACTAATTATTTGCCTACTACATAGGTATTATTAAATGCATGTGATCTTATATCGCGTATGTGGTTAGGTTAAGTAGTAGAACAAACTGTGTTGATGTCATAGCTGTTTTTCCAACTTGAGTATACTACAAAGCCATCCTTCATTCAGTTATGTAGAGTCAGGTATCTACTCTTTTGTTTTACAATATACTAGCGATCCATCCCGCTTTGCATAGGTGAACTTTATTTTAACGCTTAAAACATAAAATATAGCAGTACCTATTTACTCAGGATATTAACCCATACATGACGACATAGAGACGAAAAATGGGTTAATATCCCTGAGTAAATAGGTACTGCTATATTATTATTATTATATACCTATTTACTCAGGGATATTGTAGCATTTTGATGGTGAGAGGATTTTGAAATCAGAGCACAGACTACTTATTAGTTACTACGTCCAAAGCATGAACTTTGATAGCTGCGAAATCGTATCGCATCGTCATATTTTCTACGAATGAAAAGTAAGGAGCACCCCTACCGGAACATAATAGACCAGGGTCGATAATTTTAAAAATGGTGAAAAGTGAAAAAAAAATATAGTAGGATGAAACCCATTAGAAAAGGTAGAGAATATAACAAAAATGAAAGGAAAAATAAATTACGGGCGATCTGAGGTCGGGAAGGGGGAGGGGGTGAGTTTTTAAGGGTAAAAAATGGTTAATCTCGATTTCTGGTAAAACTGCAAGTCCTATGAAAAAAAGTTAAATGGCAAAGTTGTAGGTAATAAAAAGATCTACAACTTTTGTATCGACACTTTTTTCACATAACCTCAAAATTTATGTGAAAAATGCGAATAACCGAGATTTTGATTTTTATTTTTTGCAAAACAAAATAATTTTTCACGAAATTTGGTGAAAACTTACCTTTGTATGTCCCAAACATACAGTATTTTTTTTTATTTAAAATATTCATTTTTTCACCTTATTTTGACTTAATATCCAAAAAGCACCCTAATTTTCAATCGAAAATTCTCACGTCAAAATATCTGCATTTTTAAAAAAGTTGGGGTGTTTTTTGTTTGTTGAAATCTCTACTTTCTGATGGTATAAAAATATATATACACTACTATGATAAATGTTCTCAGAAAATGCAAATTAATAATGAAAAAAACTCGAATCCGAAAATCCTATTTTTAATACCTACTTACAACAACTATTTTTGCATGTTTTATGGATTTGTAATTTTTCTGTTTATCAATATAACATGAAATCTTACGTTTTTCGAGTAATTAAAGTGTAAATTTTAATAAATAATTCAAAATTATACACATTGATTCAAATCAATTTTTCGGATTGGAGTTTTTTTCATTATTAATTTGCAGTTTCTGAGAACATTTACCATAGTAGTGTATATTTTTTTTATACCATCAGAAAGTAGAGATTTCAACAAACAAAAAACACCCCAACTTTTTTAAAAATGCAGATATTTTGACGTGAGAAGTTTTTTCGATATTAAGTCAAAAAAAGGTGAAAAAATGAATATTTTAAACCAAAAAAATTACTGTATATTTGGGACATACAAAGGTAAGTTTTTACCAAATTTCGTGAAAAAATAAATTTTTTTGCAAAAAATAAAAATCAAAAACCAAAAACTCAGTTATTCGCATTTTTCACATAAATTTTGAGGTTATGTGAAAAAAGTGTCGATACATAAATTGTAGATCTTTTTATTACCTACAACTTTGCCATTTAACTTTTTTTCATATGACTTGCAGTTTTACCAGAAATCGAGATTA